TTGACTCATTCCTCAAAATTAACTTAAGCATTTCTATAAGGAAAACCTTATTCTTCGGCTCGAGTGAATGCACTGAAACCTCTCTGCAAGGGCCAATGGAGATGACAAACCATACTGGGTATGGAAAAGATAATACGTCCTTTGAAGAACTGCGATGCTCAACAGATTTTACAAGCGATATTCATAAACATCTGATGTCTTTATCAGCGGTCAACATTTTCCTATCCATTGCTGCAGTTCTTGGGAATACTCTGATCCTCGTCGCTCTTCGGAGAGAATCTTCCCTACATCCGCCGTCGAAGCTTTTGTTTCATAATTTGGCGACAACTGATCTTTGTGTTGGCCTAGTTGCAGAACCTCTCAATGTTGCCTATTGGATGTCTCTGGTTTATGACGTGTTGGCGTCAGTATCTATATTGACGTTGACTGCGATAAGTGTGGACAGGCTTCTCGCTCTCTTACTGGGGCTAAGGTACAAACAGGTTGTAACATTAAAGCGAACATATGCAGTTGTAACGACCTTTTGGGTAGTTTCCTGTGTCGTTGCGCTATTGTATCTCGCAAGCCACCGTATTACTGTCTGGTATGGCCGTATTACTATAGTATTTTGTCTTACGATCACAGCCGTCTCATACACTTACATTTTCCTCAAGCTTCGTCGCCGTCAAACTGAAGTTCATGAACGTGTGCAGCAAGAACATCTAAAGTTAACCGTCCCACTTGACATTGTGCGATACAGAAAAGCAGTGCATAGTGCAGTGTGGGTTCAGCTTGCAATGGTTCTCTGTTATCTTCCATATCTTGTTGTGATGGCCTTACGAAGTAACATAACAATGTCTTCATCGTATTTTCTGGCTTGGGCAGCATCAGTTTCATTAGTGTATTTAAACTCATCACTTAACCCATTTCTTTATTGCTGGAAGATTGCTGAAGTGAGACAAGTAGTAAAAGAGACAATTCGCCAAGCGCTTTGCTGCATGTGCAGTTTTATCAATGTCGATTAATGAAAAAGCACTCATTTTCACAAATTTTAGGGATATAAACAATCAAGATTGCAAATCATTTCATGTCATCTTCACTGAACGCTAAGTTTGTGCACGAAGTATACATCCAAGACCAGAAAAAACAGAAATTTTTTTGTTCCACAAATCATAAGTAAATTTTTTAGTGTAATTTTTCAGAGGATGCTTTTTAAAGAGTTTGCTTTTCTTCTAAGCAAGCATCATGGCTACTGACGTTTCTCTGAGACTTTGAAAAGGATCAATAAAAATGTGCCCATCATTAAACGTTCTGGAGTCTATTGCGGAAAGGTCTTCAGATGAAATTGATTAAGGCATCTGCCAAGTTTATCCAATAACCCTTTACACCCTAATATCAGTATGCATATTCTCCATACAGTTCTCTATACATTGACATTTACACCCTAATATCAGTATGCATATTCTCCATACAGTTCTCTATACATTTCCCAGGCATGGTGCTGACTTGAAGAATTTGTTTAACAATCAAGAGCTTCTTTAGTTGGTGATCATTCCCTTTATTCATTTAACCTTAATGTGTGGTTTGGGGATGATACTGTGAAGATAAACAACATACTAGTCACTCTTATGGGTCAAAGAGTAAATAGTTCGCTTGAAAGCAAGAGAGCGGAACCAGCTTGTTGTGCTTTTGCTGTCCTCACTCATCCTTGTTGCTGAAATGATGCAAATGAATTGAAATTATTTAGATTTTAGTTATTTGTGCTCGATTTGGTGGCGGATATTGCGACAGTGATCAATTTAACCCTCTGCAATCGCATTGCGTTTCGTTTCAACTGGGTGTTGGAAGAAAAAAAATCTTCGTACCCACTGAGAGAAAACATGTCTTCAGATTTTTTTTCTTTCATTTTATCATTAAACGAGTTGCTGACAAGGAAATATAGCGAGCAGTACATTTACTTTTAGAGTACATTTGAGGTTATAGTGTGATTATGAAGTCTAAAGACCATGTTTTAAAAGCCAGGGTGGCCCCCTAGCCATCCCTTGGGCGACTTGCCTATTTTGCTATTTCAAACATCCTGCAAATCTTACCACTGATTCCAAGTCTTCCCGGAATAAAGCTGTATTTGAATAATGATTCACTGATATTTTTATCTTGAGGAATCGATTGTCCTTCAAAAATGAGTGGGTAGATTCCAAACCGGTACTAAAGCCTTCACCTATCGTCGCCCTTGAGAGATATTTTATAATACGTACATGATGTGTATGTTTGCTCGCAAAGGGTCTGGGGTTGGTTTAAGTATAACGAGTCCAGATTCCTGGCTCCAACACAGGTACAAAGATGAAACACTCACGAAAAAAAAAAAAAATTAATAAGCTTTAGAAATAGAATCGATTCATCGCAGTAATTTTTAGTATAGTGGGAAGAAGTGTCTACGCGTGTTATTAATGTTAATGCACGCTCTAACACTCGTCGTGGGTGGTCGTCTCGTACTTTAATTAAAGGAATACAGAAAGTTTTTTTAGACCTTAAGAATCAACAATATTTTTCTGATCATTTTTTTTCTGTTAATTTCTCCTTTTTGACTTTTTCGATGAAAATACTTATCCTACTTGAAAGTATTCTTATTTATGTAAAAAACAAGCATACGCCGAGACTGCCTTAACTGGATTTGCAGTGCAAGTTTGCCAAATATGGTGAAGGATAAAATTTGTTGAGCGATCAGTTCGCTCTCATATAAATTGACTCGAGCTGCTTTTTAAGAACTAAAATCATTTCTTGAGCGTCGTGGTGGCTAAGTTCAGATAGGACAACTACTATCGTCAGTCTCTCTCTCGCAAGCTCAAGAACTTGAAAAATAAAGCTTGAATTGGAAGACGGGATCGCTTTCTCCTAAAAAATATGGATCTCAGAAAGAAAGCTTTTGTCTTTATTTGCCAAACGTCAAATATCGCACCCGTCTAAATTTTACAAAAAAAGGTGCCGTGCTTCAATCAAAGCTATGACGTAGAAGACCATGCTTTGGCCCATTTTTTCATATTCCAGAAAAATCTCCGAAACCTTTGAATCAAAATCATCTTAAATTTAAAAGAGCAGGTATAACAAGGATTTCCTTCACCTGGTCTATTTCACAGGCGCAAAGTAAATAGTTTTACTTTGTCACATGCCGAATCACTTCCAATACAGTTGGTGCGAACGCACAAATGTTTTTAAAACTTTTGCTTTGTTGAGAGAGAGAACAGTCAAATCAGTTTTCTTTGCTTTCATTCACTTGACAAAACAGCACAGCCCATACAAAGAGACGTTTGCTCAGCGGTTATGATAACTGTTGGTGCCAGATGTTTGTTGTCCTTTTCTTAAAAAATGGCTTACTTGGCGTGAGTTTAGTCTTTTGTAGTTCTTTGTGTGGAAACTACAAAAGGAGATCTCAGAAAATGCTTAAACTCTTACAATATCACAGAAATCCATTGACCTGTTGTCAACGAAAAAAGACTGCACCTAAGTGACAAGAGGCGAAACAATTATTATGAAAAGGTAAATAGATCTAAATACGCTATTACTCTGAAGTATTTCTTAGCTTGCGACACAACAGTGTTTTCATGTCTCTGGCCGTTTTTTTTTTCCACTCAAAAAACCAAAAGAAGGGACAATGATTAGCAGAACAAATACACATCGTGATATTAAAATAATCTTTTGCCATCTGTTCTAACGTTGATCCATTTTTCTTTTCTTTTTTGTATTTACTCTTAATAATTAAAATTGGAAATGCCAGGCCTGGAGTAATCCACCTTGTCTATTTCGCTGTTGCAATGATTCGTTTCTATGATAACTTTGGGATAATAAACAGACAAACACAATTTTGCATAGAAATGAACCTAAAAACTGAGACCTTCCGAGAAAGTTACTTTAAATTGATAGTATACTCGAAAAACATATTTTAAAAATCCCGTCAAACTCTGTGCTAAATTGGATTTCTCCGCTCACCGTCATTTTAGTTTACGACGGCAAACGTTTGTTGGATTAAAATTTCTGTCTCTTATGTTTGAATACGTAACGACAGGTGAAAAGCTATTAAAAATAGAGACCTAGCTCGCGATGTAAGTTAAGAACTAGATAAACATTGTAACCTCACATGTACGCATAATGGAGCGACGATAATGGTAAAGGCAAACTCAAGTGTAGATGAAAAAATTGAAACACTTGTACAACTGCGGTGCTTGGAAGGCTGGACAAACGGAATACACGGAGAATTGACGTCCATTTCAGCGCTTAACATATTTTTGGGCGTTACTGCATTTCTTGGAAATACTCTAATCCTTGTTTCGCTGCGGAAGGAATCTTCCCTTCGTCCGCCCTCAAAACTCCTACTTCGTTGTCTGGCCGCCACTGATCTTTGTGTTGGCATTATTGCACAGCCTTTCCAAGTTGTTTACTGGCTGTCGCTGGTTTACAAGGATTGGAATCTTTGTCCCTATGCTCTTAACACGACTTTCATAACAGGCTATACTTTGACGTCGGTGTCCATGTTAACACTGACTGCAATCAGTGTGGACAGACTCCTCGCGTTGATACTTGGGCTGAGATACAAACAAGTTGTAACTTTAACACGAACGTATGCCGTGGTGATTACTTTTTGGTTTATTTCCACGCTTGCTGGGACATTGTATCTTAAAGATTACAGGATTACTCTGTGGTATGGCTATATTGCCTTACCGTCATGTCTGGTAATTACCACTTTCTCGTATGCAAAAATTTTCCACTCACTTTTTCACAACCAGAATCAAATACATATTATCCCTCGACAACAACAGCAACTAAATCAATCGGCGCCTTTGAATTTATGTCGATACCGAAAGGCAGTGTACGGTACTCTATGGCTGCAACTGGCATTGGTTATATGTTACGTGCCTTACAGTGTAATGGGTGTGTGGATGAATGGCAAGGTGTCTCCGGCAAACTTTGTTATCCTTGTTTCTTCCGTCACTTGTGTTTATCTTAATTCGGCGATAAATCCTTTTCTTTACTGCTGGAAGATAAGTTCAGTTAGACAAGCGGTAAAGGAGACTATCAAACAGTTCCTTTGCTGTTTATCGACTTAGCACATTGTTCAGTTCGTCTTATTAGACTCCGAGATCCATTCTTTATCTATAAATAAGGTCATTCTATTATTCTATCAGAATTAGCATCATCTATACACTTACAATAGCTGAAGATGACACATGCCTCACATGCTCATGCCTCACATGCCCAAGCCTCACATGAAGATGACGCCTGCCTCTTTCAACTTGTCCCTTCAGTGACCGAGGGCATGTTAGGAAATTTTATATCCGGCTCGTTTCAGGTTCATACACAGCATCGTGAATATCCTTCTCCTCTAGCGTAAAAACTGTGACAGGAGTTAATAATTGTAGCGATATGCCCCCAATGTTTTTCTTTTCTTGAGAATAATTCAGAAGTTCTCCTAAAACTCTAGTTAGGCTTTGAAACTACTCAGTTAAGACGCAGGTTGAAATTAAGAAGGGAGGCAATTTATCCACAGCCTCTCTCAAATTAAGAGAATCTCAAAGTCTTCATCGAGTCCTTGAGTATCTAAAAGTGTTTTTGAAAAAACACAGAAATCGTTAAAAAAGGAGATATCCTCATATCTACGCTGTTCATATCATAGTAATACAAAATTATTACTGAACCCTCGCAAATAATGCACTTTTTTCCAAGCGAGGTATTTATTCTCGCAGCTGTGGTCGTGTTACTGAAATTGAAAGGTATCATTGATAATACCCGTGTGCAGAAAAACCTGTTTAAAAAGTAGGCCATGAGAAATCTTAACTAGTAAGGCAAAATGCTCACAGCGTCTATCTTGTACGTTATATTGCAAAATTGTGGTTGAAGCTGCGGCGTGCGTGGACAAATTGGTTTTGAAGCAGGGAAAACGATGTAATTGAAGAAATGCGCATTGAACGTCTCATCAGTCCATTTAAGGCAAAAAATATTTTAAAACCGTTTTAGAAGCGGGAAAAAGTTTATTAGTAACTCGTTTCGTGGTGATAATTATACGAAATTTGTTATTAGACCTTAGCGCAACGAAACAAATGCCTTGGAAACAAAGACATTGGCAAGTGAGGAAACAACACGACACAATTTCTCTCGTGATGATTGCAATGAAAAAACATGTAACTCATAAGGCTTAGTGCAGATAAATATAACTTTAAAAGCAGACGGGTCGTTATAAAAAGGGGCATATATACTCACTTGAAATATTGAACATAATCATTTAAAATGAAAATTAAAAGAAGACAGTAAAAGACAGGTTCAATTTTTATCTATATCAACTTAAAAATCTAGGAAAACAAAACTTTATTGTACATCCTAGTGAATACACTAACGTCAGATCACGAAACATAGAACAACCAATAGCGGGTGCACTACGCATCTAAAAGGATTTTCGGCCGGCGAACTGCTGAATAAACAAGACTTACCGCCACCTGCATGTTAGTCGTAAAAAAGAGGGTACGGGGCTTTTAAGTCCATTAATGACTGGCAGGTTTCTAAAAAGCATCAAAGAGTCAGTCACCTAGAAAACAACAAATAACTCCTTTTTGCTCATTACGTAATACACCATTCACGTGTGGCTACCGGGCAAACAACACAGTTTCCACAGCGACAGGCGCTGCCACCGATTATAATTCTTTTAAATCAAGGCAGGCAGATCTCACGTTGCGGCAAAGATCCCATATTTGATTTTCGATGGTGACATTGAATCATATCACCCAGAAAGCCATTTTTTTAACCAGTGACAAAGCAACTAGTTAAGATTAAATAGGCTTCCGTAATACTTAAACTTACAGCGGGCAGTTACAAGCTGAAAACCGCGGGTAACTAACAATACCGAAAGCAATTAATATCATTTGATCATTAGTAGCGTGCTTATTGTGGTTTCTTCATGTGCACGTGCGTATGTTTGCCGCTTACGTCCAATGCGGTAATTTATGCCTACATAGTTCAGCTAGGAAAAATGATGGCTATTAAAATTCACCATAGACGGATTACACGGATATTGATATGTTACCAAATTAACACACTTGACACACAGTAACTAACATTTTTTTCATCAGTTTCTGCTCATGACGAAACTATATCTCGCCGACAAATGGACACTAGAATTTCCAAGTCTTCCATCACAATTGACATTTAAACGCTCTTCAGCGATGTTTTATAGACTACGTCTCTACCAATCTGACAATTTTCTAGATATCTTCTACATTAAAGTGATCATAAAAAATAGGCTAAGTGCACAGGAAATCATCGAATCTATTTAATAGAGTAGCTGTACTCTGTGGGGGATTATTGGCTGTCTTTGAGAACAGAAATTAGTCGTCAGTGTTAATAACTTTAGGAACATTTCCATGAAATTATGACCGCTGGTGTCAATTAAGAGTATTTAACGAACTAGCAAATGAAAGGTGCTAAAAGCTTCTTTCCGCCTCGCGTTGCTTCTGACCAGTTCTCAATTACGAACTATTACCGACTTCTTTCGAAGAACTCTGCTCTTTATCTCCCAAACTCATCATATTCCATTTTAACCAGTTATTGCCGATCACTTCGGCAATAATTAATTATTCTTCGGCTCGAGCGAATGCACTGAAACCTCTCTGCAAGGGACAATGGCGATGACAAACCATACTGAGTATAGAAAAGATAATATGTCCTTTGAAGAACTGCGATGCTCAACAGATTTTACAAGCGGTATTCATGAACATCTGATGTCTTTATCAGCGGTCAACATTTTCCTATCCATTGCTGCAGTTCTTGGGAATACTCTGATCCTCGTCGCTCTTCGGAGAGAATCTTCCCTACATCCGCCGTCGAAGCTTTTGTTTCATAATTTGGCGACAACTGATCTTTGTCTTGGCCTAATTGCAGAACCCCTCAATGTTGCCTCTTGGATGTCTCTGCTTTATGAAGACTGGGATGTTTGTCGGTTCTCAGCAAGTGCATCCTTTATGGTAGGCTACGTGTTGACGTCAGTATCTTTGTTAACGTTGACTGCGATAAGTGTGGACAGACTTCTCGCTCTCTTACTGGGGCTAAGGTATAAACAGGTTGTAACATTAAAGCGAACATATGCAGTTATAACGACCTTTTGGGTAGTTTCCTGTGTCGTTGCGCTATTGTTCCTCGCAAGCCACCGTATCACTATTTGGTATGGCCGTATTGCTACAGTAATTTGTCTTGCGATCACAGCCGTCTCGTACACTTACATTTTCCTCAAACTTCGTCGCCGTCAAACTGAAGTTCATGAACGTGTGCAGGAAGCACATCCAAAGTTAACAGTCCCACTTGACATTGTGCGATACAGAAAAGCAGTGCATAGTGCAGTGTGGGTTCAGCTTTCAATGGTTCTCTGTTATCTTCCATATCTTGTTGTGATGGCCTTACGTAACAACATAACAATGTCTTCATCGTATTTTCTGGCTTGGGCAGCATCAGTTTCATTAGTGTATTTTAACTCATCACTTAACCCATTTCTTTATTGCTGGAAGATTGCTGAAGTGAGACAAGTAGTAAAAGAGATAATTCGCCAAGCGCTTTGTTGCATGTGCAGTTTTATCAATGTCGATTAATAAAAAAGCACTCATTTTCACAAATTTTAGGGATATAAACATTCAAGATTGCAAATCATTTCATGTCATCTTCACTGATCACTAAGTTTGTGCACGAAGTATACATCCAAGACCAGAAAAAACAGAAATTTTTTTGTTCCACAAATCATAAGTAAAGTTTTTAGTGTAATTTTTCAGAGGATGCTTTTTAAAGAGTTTGCTTTTCTTCTAAGCAAGCATCATGGCTACTGACGTTTCTCTGAGACTATGAAAAGGATCAATAAAAATGTGCCCATCATTAAACGTTCTGGAGTCTATTGCGGAAAGGTCATCAGATGAAATTGATTAAGGCATCTGCCAAGTTTATCCAATAACCCTTTACACCCTAATATCAGTATGCATATTCTCCATACAGTTCTCTATACATTTCCCAGGCATGGTACTGACTTGAAGAATTTGTTTAACAATCAAGAGCTTCTTTAGTTGGTGATCATTCCCTTTATTCATATAACCTTCATGTGTGGTTTGGGGATGATACTGTGAAGATAAACAACATACTAGTCACTCTTATGATACTGTGAAGATAAACAACATACTAGTCACTCTTATGATACTGTGAAGAGAAACAACATACTAGTCACTCTTATGATACTGTGAAGATAAACAACATACTAGTCACTCTTATGATACTGTGAAGAAAAACAACATACTAGTCACTCTTATGATACTGTGAAGAGAAACAACATACTAGTCACTCTTATGATACTGTGAAGAGAAACAACATACTAGTCACTCTTATGATACTGTGAAGAGAAACAACATACTAGTCACTCTTATGGGTCAAAGAGTAAATAGTTCGCTTTAAAGTTAGACAGCAGAGCTAGCATGTCTTGATTTTGCTGTTCTCACTCATCTTTGTTGCTGAAAAGATGCAATTGAATTGAAATTATTTAGATTTTAGTTATTTGTGCTCAATTTGGTGGCGGATATTGCGACAGTGACCAATTTAACCCTCTGCAATCACATTGCGTTTCGTTTCAACTACATCGTCTCTGGTTCATTATGTTTCTACTAGGTGTTGGAAGAAAAAAAATTCTTCGTACTTACTGAGAGAAAACATGTCTTCAGATTTTTTTTCTCTTCATTTTATCATTAAACGAGTTGCTGACAAGGAAATATAGCGAGCAGTACATTTACTTTTAGAGTACATTTGAAGTTATAGTGTGATTATGAAGTCTAAAGACCATGTTTGAAAAGCCAGGGTGGCCCCTAGCCATCCCTTGGGCGACTTGCCTAGTGTGCTATTTAAAACATCCTGCAAATCTTACCACTGATTCCAATTCTTCCCGGAATAAAGCTACATTTGAATAATAATTCACTGATATTTTTATCGTGAGGAATCGATTGTCCTTCAAAAATGAGTGGGTAGATTCCAAACCGGTACTAAAGCCTTCACCTATCGTCGCCCTTGAGAGATATTTTATAATACGTACATGATGTGTATGTTTGCTCGCAAAGAGTCTGGGGTTGGTTTAAGTATAACGAGTCCAGATTCCTGGCTCCAACACAGGTACAAAGATGAAACACTCATGAAAAAAAAAAAAAAATTAATAAGCTTTAGAAATAGAATCGATTCATCGCAGTAATTTTTAGTATAGTGGGAAGAAGTGTCTACGCGTGTTATTAATGTTAATGCACGCTCTAACACTCGTCGTGGGTGGTCGTCTCGTACGTTAATTAAAGGAATACAGAAAGTTTTTTAGACCTTAAGAATCAACAATATTTTCCTGATCATTTTTTTCTGTTTACTTCTCCTTTTTGACTTTTTCGATGAAAATACTTATCATACTTGAAAGTATCCTTATTTATGTAAAAACAAGCATACGCCGAGACTGCCTTAACTGGATTTACAGTGCAAGTTTGCCAAATATGGCGAAGGATAAAATTTGTTGAGCGATCAGTTCGCTCTCGTGTAAACTGACTCGAGCTGAATCATTTCTTGAGCGCCGTGGTGGCTAAGTTCAGATGGGACAACTACTAGCGTCAGTCTCTCGCAAGCTCAAGAACTTGAAAAATAAAGCTTGAATTGGAAGACGGGATTGTTTTCTCCTGAAAATATGGATCCCAGAAAGGAAGCTTTTGTCTTTATTTGCCAAACGTCGAATAGCGCACCCGTCTAAATTTTACAATTAAGTCTTCAGTGACCGAGGGCATGTAAGAAAATTTCATATCCGGCTTGTTTCAGGTTCATACACAGCATCGTGAATATCCTTCTCCTCTAGCGTAAAAACTGTGACAGGAGTTAATAATTGAAGCGATATGCCCTCAATGTTTTTCTTTTATTGAGAATAATTCAAAAGTTCTCCTAAAACTCTAGTCAGGCTTAGAAACTACTCAGTTAAGACGCAGGTTGAAATTAAGAAGTGAGGCAATTTATCCCCAGCCTCTCCGAAATTAAGAGAGTCTCAAAGTCTTCATCGAGTCCTTGAGTATCTAAAAGTGTTTTTAGAAAAACACAGAAATCGTTAAAAAAGGAGATATCCTCATATCTACGCTGTTCATATCATAGTAATACAAAATTATTACTGAACCCTCGCAAATAATGCACTTTTTTCCAAGCGAGGCATTTATTCTTACAGCTGTGGTCGTGTTGCTTAAATTCAAAGGTATCATTGATAAATACCCGTGTGCAGAAAAACCTGTTTAAAAAGTAGGCCATGAGAAATCTTAACTAGTAAGGCAAAATGCTCACAGCGTCTATCTTGTACGTAATATTGCAAAATTGTGGTTGAAGCCGCGGCGTGCGTAGATAAATCAGTTTTGAAGCAGGGAAAACGATGTAATTGAAGAAATGCGCATTGAACGTCTCATCAGTCCATTTAAGGCAAAAAATATTTTAAAACCGTTTTAGAAGCGGGAAAAGGTTTATTAGTAAGGCAATAGGACCTTAACTCGTCTCGTGGTGATAATTATACGAAATTTGTTATTAGACCTTAGCGCAACGAAACAAATGCCTTGGAAACAAAGACATTGGCAAGTGAGGAAACAACACGACACAATTTCTCTCGTGATGATTGCAATGAAAAAACATGTAACTCATAAGGCTTAGTGCAGATAAAAATAACTTTAAAAGCAGACGGGTCGTTATAAAAAGAGGCATATATACTCACTTGAAATATTGAATATAACCTTTTAAAATGAAAATTAAAAGAAGACAGTAAAAGACAGGTTCAATTTTTATCTATATCAACTTAAAAATCTAGGAAAACAAAACTTTATTGTACATCTTAGTGAATACACTAACGTCAGATCACGAAACATAGAACAACCAATAGCGGGTGCACTACGCATCTAAAAGGATTTTCGGCCGGCGAACTGCTGAATAAACAAGACTTACCGCCACCTGCATGTTAGTCGTAAAAAAGAGGGTACGGGGCTTTTAAGTCCATTAATGACTGGCAGGTTTCTAAAAAGCATCAAAGAGTTAGTCACCTAGAAAACAACAAATAACTCCTTTTTGCTCATTACGTAATACACCATTCACGTGTGGCTACCGGGCAAACAACACAGTTTCCACAGCGACAAGCACTGCCACCGATTATAATTCTTTTAAATCAAGGCAGGCAGATCTCACGCTGCGGCAAAGATCCCATGTTAGATTTTCGATGGTGACATTGAATCGTATCACCCAGAAAGCCATTTTTTTAACCAGTGACAAAGCAACTAGTTAAGATTAAATAGGCTTCCGTAATACTTAAACTTACAGCGAGCAGCTACAAGCTGAAAACCGCGGGTAACTAACAACACCGAAAGCACTTAATATCATTTGATCATTAGTAGCGTGCTTATTGTGGTTTCTTCATGTGCACGTGCGTATGTTTGCCGCTTACGTCCAATGCGGTAATTTATGCCTACATAGTTCAGCTAGGAAAAATGGATATTGATATGTTACCAAATTAACACACTTGACACACAGTAACTAACATTTTTTTCATCAGTTTCTGCTCATGGCGAAACTTTATCTCGCCGACAAATGGACACTAGAATTCCCAAGTCTTCCATCACAATTGACATTTAAACGCTCTTCAGCGATGTTTTATAGACTACGTCCCTACCAATTTGACAATTTTCTAGATATCTTCTACTTTAAAGTGATCATAAAAAATAGGCTAAGTGCACAGGAAATCATCGAATCTATTTAATAGAGTAGCTGTACTCTGGTATAATTTTTCAAAAAAAAAAAAAAAAAAGAAAAAAAAGAAAAGAAATGAAATACGGACAGCCGGGAAAATGTTACTTAAAATGCCATGTCCATCACAAGGATAAAGTGTGACAATGCTACTTAACGGGCACTGTTTTGATGCACAGTTTTTTTTCCATATTTCACTCTAAAATTCTTCATACTGCTCTTGACGTGTTCTTTACAAAGTGAACATGCTAATTTTCTTTCTTTAAAATATCATGCAGCTTTTAAGTAATATCTGTTCATATGTACCCCGGAACTTTTCCAGTGATCAGGAAGTATTTAAATAAGTCGCTGATTATAAGTGGCGTAATATTCATTCATGTGTCTCTTCAATGGGCAACAAGGACTTTGTAAATCAATGTATAAAAAGGCACAGGTGTTTTTGTGCTTTTTGTGTTTTTGTTGTTGATTCTTAGCGCTGATTTACAGCAAAGCATTTCTTATTCAATGTCAAGGTCATTTAGCATATTCCAAGAATGAAATGCCCTTAAACCCAATTTAATAGCATGGGAGCGAAAGGAAGAAAAATTAAAAACCTTCAATTTTCAAAATCCCGTGACTGGCAAGATAAATTGCTGTGGGGGATTATTGGCTGTCTTTGAGAACAGAAATTAGTCGTCAGTGTTAATAACTTTAGGAACATTTCCATGCAATTATGACCGCTGATGTCAATTAAGAGTATTTAACGAACTAGCAAATGAAAGGTGCTAAAAGCTTCTTTCCGCCTCGCGTTGCTTCTGAACAGTTCTCAATTACGAACTATTACCGACTTTATCAGAAGGCGCTATAGCTATAGCCAGTGTCATTATTAAGGAGATATATAGCCAGGATCTTAGAATGACAGCCCCAGATGTGCATCCTATTTTTAGCGTACTTCCATTTAAAAGTCTTAATACATCTTCATCTTCTTTAGACGCAATGACGACCGATTGTACACCCACTTTATCAATTTGTTTAATTTTTGGAAAAAATAAAGTAATGACGCAGTCGTAGACATAAATTTACCAATAAAAGAAACCCTCGGGTGAGAAGAAGTCTTAAACTTACCGAAACAGAGAACATGGCGGGACTGAACTTAACGGTTCATGTAAGACAGAAGGAATCATTTGAGGAACTGCTTTGCTCCAGCACATTGAGAAATGGAAATCAGGAATACATACTATACCTCTCAGCAATCAATATTTTTCTTTCCATTACTGCAGTTATAGGTAATGTTCTGATCCTAGTTGCTCTTCGGAAGGACTCTTCCCTTCATCCACCGTCCAAACTCTTGTATCGTTGTCTCGCAACAACTGATCTCTGCGTTGGTCTGATTGTAGAACCTCTCCAAGCTGCCTACTTGATGTCCGTATATAATGAACACTGGGCTCTCTGTCGATACCTACTTGTGACAGTTTATGTAACTGGCTACGGACTTACTTCAATTTCTCTGTTGACTCTCACTGCAATAGCCGTTGACAGAGTCATTGCCCTCTTACTGGGGCTTAGATACAAAGAAACTGTGACTTTGAAGCGAATATATCTCATTCTAGCGATCTTTTGGATTGTGTCCTCTATCGCAGCAGGATCGTACGTTATCGATTACCGAACAGTTTTTTGGTGCAGTCGTATATTTACACCAATAGGTTTGATTATCTCTATTGCATCGTATACGAAGATATTCTATACATTAAATCGTCACCAAATGGTAGTTAAAGACCGTTTTCAACACGCACAGTCGAGCCAAGCAGTCCCACTGAACATGGCGCGATACAGGAAGGCAGTTTACAGTGCATTGTGGGTGCAGCTGGCATTAGTTGCTTGTCATCTACCATACAGCACAGTTGTACTTTTGCTCAATCGTATGAGGTTGCGCAATGCATCTTTAACGTACATGGTTGTTTGGGGAGTAACAGTGACTCTAGTTTTCTTCAACTCATCATTAAACCCGTTTCTTTACTGTTGGAAGATATGTGAAGTGAGACAAGCGGTAAAGAAGACAATCAGATACGTTTTTCTTTGCCGTAAGCGTTAGTTCACCGTTAGTTTATATCTCTAAAATTTCTTCGATAGAGCAATATTCAATAGTGTCGAAAGTAATCCGTAGTTGCATTGGTTTTACTTTCTTTAAATTGAGATTGGCTTAGAAAACTTGCACCTCTCTCTGAACCAATCAGATGCAAAACCAACACCAATCAGGACTTCGTCACCTGCGTTTTCCCGCGCTTTTCCTCTCTTCTGATTGTCCCTCGGATATTTCTTAAGTTTTTTTATCAGGACTCTTAATCGAAAAGCGCTATATTCAGTAATGAGAATCAGGAAGAAAGTAACAAAGATATATCTCCACTCGGAGGCGCGCAAGTAAACTCTCAGATCTTATAAATAACAGGTTTTAAAAATAGATATAGAGCGTGCTTTTAGTGAATAAATTGAGAAGGTTAATACACATGTACGTTCGTAAATAAAGAAAACGTAGGGGTAGGTTTGATCAGATTTAAACATGATTGAACTATAATCAGTAAAAGTCAGTGACGACTTCTATCAAAAGCTTAGTTTTTGCAAAATTATGTCAACCAATTTTCCACCTGGTTCCTTAAACCTCAATCATGGTTTTACAGTTATTCTCCCAGTCATGTCATTCTGAACTCAGAGTCTATGTTTTCCAAAAACTTGTCACTATAATGGAAAGAGTTGTCTTTCCGCTAGCAAGGAGAATTATCGCCCTTTGCGTAGAGCATGATATGGCTATTAGTCAATAAAAGGCGGGAAAGTGAACTCATGTACATGTGTTTTAATGGTTTCAGCTCCATATCTCTAAAAAAGACTGTAGGTTAGAAACCACATTTTCAGGGCAATATTCAACTGAATTTGGAGAGATATCTAGGATTTCTTCGGTTGCCTCACCACGGTCTGTTATTGATCTAGAAAATTCGCAGCACCCCTCTACCAATCAGCTACAAAAGTAAAACCAATCGTGTAGGCTGTTTGCTTGTTTTTACTTCAAGTTCTTATTGGCTTCGTTTGAGAATTTCCTTCGTCCCGATTAGCGATTGTGATTCCTATAGTTTGGTTTGTAATTTTTTTTGTCTGTTTAATAAATTCAATCGATATCTACTTCATCACAAACATAAGAATCAACCAACAAGGATGAAATGAAAATGGAGAAATTAGCACTTATCGTCAGCACCTACTTGAAAAAGTTTGGAATCATTTTTGTAAGATACAGTCATTTTTTTTAGGTAGAAATCTGGGTGAGGGATCGTAGACGCATTTCATCTAATTTTTGTTCTCATCCGTCGAAACCTTTTCTCCTTTCTATTTCGATTTATCATAATTTACCATGAGAGCTAATTTGATTAAAGGCCTTTATGCTCTGGATAGTTTTTAACAGATTGACCAGGAACCAAGAGAATATCAACAATTGGCATTCTCTTGCAGAGAACTAATTTACTTTTGTATTTATCCCGATATCAATCAGTGCCTACTCCCTTAGCAACATAAAGCCTGCTTAGGAAGTTTTGCTGTCAGTCATTTAACCAAGAGAAAACAATGGGATTAATGTATCGGGGAACAGCGACGAGAAGGGTTTTTTTTACTTCGGCAGTAAGAAACTACATTAGGAAACCACAATGCTTTCCGCCCCAATTCAAGCTAAAAATAACTTAAGTGAAATCGACATACCCCGACTAATGCCCTGATTTTCCCTCTCTGTCCGATGATTTTTCTCTTGATGTTGCTGATCATTATTCATGATCACACAAAAAATAATTAACAAGCTTATTCTTTTAAGGATTTCCGGAAACGAAAGGATTTCCTAGAGAGAGAGAGAGAGAGAGAGAGAGAGAGAGAGAGAGAGAGAGAGAGAGAGAGAGAGAGAGAGAAAACGAAGTTCACTGGTAACTTGCAGATTTCGTAAATTTTGCTTCACGTTTTTCCCCGGAGAAATCAGGAGAAATATCGTTGCTTATGTCGCCAAAACTTGTCCTCAATTTTTTCGACTGATCCGCCAGCTAGAAACTTAGTTGTCATCAGGAATATTTGAGTTGAAGTTTACACACAGTAAGTAAACTACCCGTTAGAAATTTACCTCCTCTTTAGACATTTTTCTCGTTATTATTGCTGTTTTTTTATACTCGTAATTAGTTTTACTTTCCATTTCAAACATTTGTATTTGTTTTCGATGCCACGTTTGATCACCTATTAAAAAAACGTACACATTTTTACTCGAATTTGCTACAATGACACTTTATCATAAATTGAAACTCTACCGTATTCTTCTCCCACACCTCCTCTGTTATTGCAGCACTGAGGTACGTCTTGATCTTAGACAAAAAGTAAATAAAGATTTTTACCTTTTTTACCTTTTTAGAAATTTACCTCCTCTTTAGACATTTTTCTCGTTATTATTGCTGTTTTTTTATACTCGTAATTAGTTTTACTTTCCATTTCAAACATTTGTATTTGTTTTCGATGCCACGTTTGATCACCTATTAAAAAAACGAACACATTTTTACTCGAATTTGCTACAATGACACTTTATCATAAATTGAAACTCTACCGTATTCTTCTCCCACACCTCCTCTGTTATTGCAGCACTGAGGTACGTCTTGATCTTAGACAAAAAGTAAATAAAGATTTTTCTTAAGGGAAATTATTTGTATTCTCTCTTTGAATATTTGTCGGGGATTTCCTCAAAAATATGACATCTCTAAAACAAATTGAAAATGGCAGCTATTACGGGGCTAATTAAATTCATTGTGTAGCCTTGGAAAATTAATCAATAGCGTCTTAACGATCTTGGGTTGTTCTTAAGGAGGATTGTGTTTCAGCAGTGCTGCGTCCCGCACCGTAAATTGCTTCTATCCTATACTCTGTCTTTCCACTGATACCATACTGGTATCAGTGGATACTGTCTCCATCCACTTTGAATTGCTTGCAAAGCTCTGACAGTGGTTTCCTTTACTGCCAATCAACTTATGTGCTACTGGAAATGAGAAATGGTAGTGAAGACGGAGAGCAAACAATGGCTTTCCAAGACTTGCGATGCCCAGTAGGCTTGACGAAAGAAATACACGAACACCTGATTTATCTTTCAGCGTTCAACATTTTCCTCTCCGTAATAGCATGTGTTGGGAATACACTAATTTTAGTTGCCCTTAGCAAAGAATCTTCTCTTCATCTGCCGTCTAAACTTTTGCTTCGTTGTTTAGCGACAACGGACCTGTGTGTTGGGATCATTGTGGAGCCACTTAATATTGCCTATCTAATGACGCTGGTTTACGAGGACTGGCACCTTTGTCGATTCTTAGAAGCCGTGTCATTTTTGGTCGGCTATGTTGTGGCAGCAGTATCTTTACTAACATTGACTGGAATAAGCGTAGATCGACTTCTCGCGCTGTTGCTGGGTTCTAGTTACAAGCAAATTGTAACCTGCAAGAGAACTTATGTGGTCATTGCAGCCATTTGGGTGTTTTCCGGTGTTGTCACAGCATCGTACCTAGAGAGTCATCTTATAACTTTTTGGTGCGGGCGTGTAACCATAGCATTATGTATCACAATCTCCATCATCTCGTACGCAAAGATCTTTTTTACACTACGGCGGCATCAAATGCGTGTTCATACCACTGTGCAGCAACACCACCAACAGCAGTCAAATCATTATTTTTCTCTAAACATGCTGCGTTACAGAAAGGCAGTGTATAGCGCACTGTGGATTCAGTTGGCATTAGTTGTCTGTTACCTACCATACAGTATCATGACAGTTTTGATTGGTAACAGAAGACCATCTCCTTCGTATTTTCTTGCCTGGTTGACAACGGTGACTCTGGTTTATTTAAATTCTTCGTTAAACCCGGTTCTTTACTGTTGGAAGATAAGTGAAGTTAGACGAGTAGTGAAGGAAATAATAAGAAACGTATTTTGTTCTACTTGAAGTTAGAACATTTTTTCGTTACCAATTCTCATTCTTTGTAAACTTTGGCGTGACAGTGACAGTAGAAAAAGAAATCTACCTCTATTGGCTGAACTGTGTGTAATTCTGTGGCGGTCACAATTTTCATGGAAAGATCGAAAAGAAACTAACGCTTTATTTTTAAAGGGGCTTTCAAATACCCAGAAAGATCTATATTAGGAAGTGTCCTGTGGTGGTCGACGGCCGGAGACTAGTAACAGCCCTGCGCAATGAGTTTGGAGACTGTCTTTACTTGAGCCAAGTGGTCCACCCAGCCGGTTTCCTTAACATGAAGCGACTAGGAGCATCATTAATCCCCCCTGGGTGGGATGCTGGTCCTTTAAAAACCGGTAACCCCCCCCCCCTTTCCCAGCATTTTATCAGATCTCCCTAACAATTCGCCGGCCACCCATTTGTACTCCTGGGTAAAAAGAGGCACTATGAGACTAAACTGCGTGTTTTGCCCAAGAACACAACACACTGATCCAGCCGGGTCTTGACCCGGAGTCTAGTCCACTAACCACAGTGAGTGTGGAGTATCAATATTTAATTCCCAAGTTTTCAATTTTTGTCTTCCGATTCCTTTTCATCATTTGAAAAAAAAAAAAAAAATAGAAATTAAACAAGGTTACGGATGGAACAATGATTTTGAACTCATTCTCCTTCTGTTATCTTTTCAACTCTTCCCATTTCGCTTTTTTCAGCTCTTATCCCTTTCTGCTGCCACGCATTTCTCCAGAGCGGTTGCGTGACGATATACTCAATTACTTACCACCTAGCGCCCGTATTCTAATGAGCGCCCCTATTGAGTAAGCACCCTCATTCAAAGAAGTGCCCCTATTCCAATAAACACCCCTAATCTGTTTCAGAAAAGCACTGTTAGAGTAACTGCACATTGAGATCTAGCCTGTGTTGCTGGCGGTCTGCGATTTTGGGGGCGGAGAGAAAAATGAAAACTGGCGGTTTTTCATTTTCCTCTCAAAATCGCAGACCGCTAGCAACGCAGGCTAATTGAGATCAACCTTGATCCATCTTCCTTTATTGCTTCCTAAAAGGCCCTACGATAAAGAATTATTATGCCTACGTGAGTGCACATTTACGCCTACGTGAGTGCACATTTCCTTCATATGAAAGATCCCGTCTTAAAATTTTGGACTATTGCTTCGCTAGTCGTTTTAGCTAATAAGGATCCAGAGACAGGGAATTCGTTTTCCAGTATAGCTCATTGATTCTCACTCGTAAATACATTAAAGCTTTGTTTCTCATTCTGCTGTTTCTCATGCTAAACCTTTATTTTTTTCATTCCGCTGTAATTTTCATCTTTAACTTTGTTTTGGTTTTGTCTCTCTTTTGCAAATGAGCCGATCAAATCCCGAAGGATTCGTTACTCTGGTTTCTCCATTGGCTTTTTGCGTAATTCAATATCTTTATTTCAGTACCGTGAAGTCCTTTTCTGGTGATTGTCACGCAGCATTGGAACGCGTTACATTTTGAAATCACGCGACGATCGTAATAAGTGTACCGCTAGAAGGGAGTTGCTGACCATCTTTTAACTCCGCATTTCACAATGATAATGAAAATTTCTTTTCCTTGCTATTTAATGTTTTCATTCTTCATGGATTCTGCGACTAAATCCCGAACAATAGCTTAACGTATTTAGCGCCCCCGGGAGAATGGGCCCGTGATCGTCGAAATGTGTGATCGGCACCAAGCAATAAGTTTGTCTCGCAGTTTAAAATTTTGGTATTGGTGGTCATTGCCCGCAATCGGTAAGTCTCCAGTCGTGTATTCTAGTCTAGGTGAGTTACTAAACGAACAAAACGTCTTTCAATCTGTCTTTGACGTATTTTAGAAACGAACTCATTGACTGTGTCTCGGAGGTCAGTTTGTGGAAAACCATTTCAAACTAACGTTTATAGAGGGAAGTTCATACTGTTGGCCGCCGGTGTGGTTTAGCGATACATATTGAGCGACTTCTTCTTTAGTGTTCCTGTTTTGTACTCTGTACTTAGTGCTGACTTTTACCTCTCCGTCTTTCATGCTTGTTCGGTTTATGCAAGAACAATTTTGCCGCGCTCCGAATGCTTGAGAGCTTTTTTGAATCTCAAAGGCGTACGTTTATTTGCTACTTTCGGATATAAACTCGCTCAGTGAGGCTTTTTTTATTCTGTTTCAGCTGGCACAGGTCTTAAAACGAAGGATTTTGTCGTGGTCAGGAAAGTCCAGACGAACGCAGTCCACCATCAAAGACTCTTAGTGAAACAAATGTGGTGACGATGGAAGTTCTATTTCCTCTCAGTTCACTTTATCAATCGATAAGTATCAAACCAACCTTTTGATTTTATCCACCAATAGTTGAAATAGATGACCCTGGAAATACCTTTTGAGGACCTTCTAGCTATTTACCTGACAGAATATTTATGTGGATGACATCTTTTCTGGAGGATCCACTTTTTAAATTACATATACACGCTGCTAACCCTCGAAACACTAAGAGTGACTAGCATCAAATTTCTCCCTACTATATCAGCTGTGAATCACACATTAAGGTCATGAGAATAAAGGAAATGATCACTAATGAAAGAAGCTTTTGATCGGTACACAAATTCCTTGTCAGCACCTTTGGAAACGTATAGAGAACACATTGGAGAATTTGCACACTGATGTTAGGGTGTAAAGGGTTAAAGTATATAATTCCTTAAAACAAGACAGAGAATTATTTTTTTTAAGCTCCTGAGGCAAGAATCTAATGATTTTGGAACAGGGGTACTAAAATCTTATAACAAGAATGGCACTTCTTGAAACTGGAAATTTGCTCCTTATTTCAAGGTGCAACAGAGAATGTTCACTTGAAAAAAGGATCCAAGGGCTAATTTAAAGAAGGAAAAGATCTGAAAAAAATGTTTAAATCAGGAATTTTAGTTCTTATTTTAAGGGAGCTCTGCCTAAAATAAGGGTACCAAATGCTGATTTCAAATCAGAAAAGATTCAAAAACTAAACTTGTAATAATTACAAGGAAAGCTTGACATCACATGGTAGCCTAAGAAAAGCCAACTTCTAGTAAGAGATGAGGGCAATCCCTCATGCTAAATAAATATTGCCCACTAAACATTCCATCAATTTCAGAGACATAAATCATTTAAAAGGCAGTGGATTTTAAAAATGTGGTTACATGTCAGCTAAAGTTTCAAAGTATGTTGTTGAAATTATTGATGTAAACTTGATGCTCAGTATTTACAAATATCTGGTCCATTTTGACATTACCAACAGCTCAAGGGTCAGCTCTGAAAATTTCAAGCCATCTGACTTTAAGAAGGGAAGCATGCATGGAAAGCATGTTTTCAAGAGTACTGCAAAGTTTAGTTGAATGACCATGCCAAGAAAGAGAAAATCTCCAATCTGATCATATATTGCTGGTACAGGTAATTGTTAAGTGATTTTTGAGACTTCTAACATTGAGTCTCTCAGAGCTGTTTGCAAAGCTAACCTTTTCCCTCTGATTCCTATTGTCAACCTCAAAGAAGAAGGGAATCAATGTGGTGAAGAAATTACAATTGTGAGATATTAGTCAAAGCAACCAGTGTGAAGTTTCCCTTGATGTTAAACCAGAAATGCCAACTGAAAGCCAGCTTCTTGATGATTTTGTGGTCCTTTCTGAAGTAATCACTTACTTACTTACTTTGAATGATCATGATTACACTTTTCCTGGAGTTCCTGCAAAGTCTACTGAAGAATGGCTTGAAGCAGCACATGAGAGAATGAGCAGTTTGAGGTAGCACATGAGAAACAATCAATATTTGTGCTATTGCAAATTTTCCTTTTGAAGTTCTTGTGGCACTTTGTCCCACTGTGCAAAATACGGTTTCCTGGTTGCGAATGTAGTGCCTCAGAAATAAAGGAATAAGGGATGCTGAAGAGCTTAGGCAGGCCATAAAAACTTAACCTTGTGTATTTGATCAATTTTATAAAGTGCTACAAAAGTTGGTACTTTAAGCCAGGTATTGGCAAATAATTTTCATATGTCCCAAACAACTGTAAGAAGAATTTCTATTTCCTGGATAAATTTTCTTCCCTTTACACCTGGAAGTATTCGTATTTGGCTATATAGGGCCAAAATTCAAATGTGCACTGCACAATTGGCAGCCTTGTTAAAAAAAACGTACCCTAATTGTTGGGGATCATTGATGCATCAGAAAAAGGGGCCCAACCACCATCAAGTTTAATCTTGAACTGTGAGATGTTTTCATCAAACAAATGTCATACTACTTCCAATGGGAATGTTGTTAATTCATCATCAAGGGAGATAATATCTGACAAAGAGCTGGTCATTAAGCGATCTGGCCTTTTGCAACTGCTCCAGCCTGGTGATTATCTCATGACCAATATGGTCTTTTTAATCCTGGATCCTCTCGCACCTCTTGGTTGTGAAGTAGTCATGCCATCATTTTTATGGAGCAAAAAGTCATTTTCAAAGGATGAGTTGTAAGAGAGTGAAAAAATTCACAATGTCTTGTGCATTTTTAAAGGACTATTGGTGGGACAAGGAGGTCCATTTCTTTGACAAGGTAATTCCCCTTACTGTAGGAGGTAGTATTAATCAGATATGGAAAGTAGCATGTCTCAATACAAACTCTCAAAAACCTTTATTGTTTGAATAATATATTAACATGTGGATGAAGTCCTCTGTAAGAGTATGTAAAAATAGGTTAAATTCTTTCTTACAAGGTATGGAGGCAGCAGCAGCATGAACTTAACCTGCTTTTCTTTGAATGTAACAGAATGTTTAATTTAAATCAACAGATCAGAAGTTTCATTCACCAAGGCCTGATTTCATGTCTCTTGACACTTAAGTAAACAAGGTTCTATCATACATGGATATCATCATCATTATCCTAAACATTGTTAGAAAGTGCATGAGTCATAATGGAGATAATTTATAATGTTTCATAACTATTAAGTTGTATGGAAAATTTCTAATCAT